CCCGCCCACGAAGGCCAGTGACGGGGACGCAGAGGGGACGGCCAGGGCAGGGGCCTGAGGAGGAGAAGAGCACAGGGTGTCCCAGGGGACCAGGTGCAGGACATTGGGTCAGTCACAGGCCGGTGGTCACCGGGTGGGGGGGACAGGACGGAGGTGGAGCTTGGAGAGCGAGGTGGAGGCAGGGTTGAAGGTGCTGCAGGGGCGGGGGGCACGACTGGGGTGTGTGGACAGGCCCGGAGCCACCGTTAGCTGGCCGCTGACATGAGGAGCTGGTCACCGGGCCCCAGTGGTGTGGGACGGAAAGGCGGGCTGTGCCCTCGGCCGCGCTCACCACCATCATCTGGTACTGCTCCTCGTTGCAGTGCTTGGGCAGGATGGGGCGGATGGTGGGGGGCAGCAGGACCCCCTCCAGCAGGTGGATCACCCCATTGGCAGCCGGTATGTCCACTTGCCGCAGGGGGATCCCCTGAGGCCACAGCAGGATGCGCCCCTACAGCAGAGACACAGCAGGTCCTCACTGCCCCGCGCCCAATGCCCCAGGCCCAGTCAGGATGGCCCTTCCCCATGCAGCACCCTCCTCCTGGGAGCCCCCCTGCCCCACTGGGCCCCTTAGGCCTGCCCCTCGAGTGACTCCCTAGGACCCTGAGGGATGTCATCACAGGACACAGAACACACAGGCAGGGCAAAAGGGGCCGTTCAGCTGGCCTGTGTTCTCTGCCCTCCCCCCCACATCAGGCCATTCACCCCAAATGCTCACGGAGCCAGCCGCACCTCATCAGAGACGTTCACAGTCAGCACCTGGTTGGCCATGGTGAGGACCCGGCCCTTGGAGATGAGCATCTCGGTGGTCAGCTAGGGTGGGGGTGGGGTGGGGGAGAGCAGCCTGGGCTAGACACTGGCTGTCCTGGTAGCCGGGCCCAGTCCCACGGAGGTGGCTCATAGCCAGCCGCCCCTCCGGTCCTGAGCCTCTTCTCCCTGGAGCTGTAATGGTCCCCAGGAGGGGGGAGCGGAGACAGGGAGGAGCAGGGGCCCTGGGAAGATGGAAGCAAAGACAGCCCCCCCAACAGCAAGCACAGGAGCAGGTACCTGGGGGAGGGACAGCAGCGCTCACCTGGCCATGGCTGTAGATGTGGTGCTTCACCAGCTCCTGCAGTTTGGAGAGACCCTGGCGGGGGAGACAGGGCTGGGCTCCTGGAGGCAGGGACCTTGGTGACCCCAGAGCACCCCGCTGCCCCCACCCCGCCGAGCCTACCTCAGTGAAGAGGTAGATGAGGCGGCCGTCACGCAGGCTGTCCACGGCCTCGTTGCTTGGCACAAAGACTGTGAAGGGCCCGGGCCCATCCAGCATGGAGGGCAACCCACAATTCTGAGGTGAGGGGGCAGGAGGTGGGCTCAGGGGGTGCTGAGGCCAGCCCCCACCTCCGAGCTCCACCTGGACCCTGCCACCAGAGATGAAGTAAGGGTCCACATGCAGAACCTCAGCCCTGTGGGGGCCATGGAAGGTGGGGGCACAGATTCTGATGAATGGGGGAGGGGGGAGGCTTGCCCGCCTCTCCCACTGACCTCCAGGATGGTCTCAAAGCGGCTGAAGGCATCTGTGGAGGCGAGGATCCTGCCCACAGTTTTCTGTTGGGGGTTGGGGGGGGGCCGGACGTGAGGCCCCCTGGGGGAGGAAGAAGTCCTGCCCCGAACTGCCCCTGCTCACCCCCGCCCCCTGAACTCGCAGGACCAGAGATGGGGAGCACGCCACTCACCTCGGGGTCCCCAGGGACGCCCGTGGGGGGCTCGGTCCGCAGGCTGGGGACCAGATGGAAGACTCCGTTGGAGGCCGGGTAGTTCGGCCGCTGGATGGTGAGCTTCTTCTGCGGCTGGTCTTCATACACGTAGGAGAATTTGCGCTGCAGCCGGAGAAGGCTGGCTCAGACCCCGGCGCCTCCTCCCGTCTGCACAGCCGTCTGGGCCGTGGCCCCACCTGGGACTGGGTAGGGCAGGGCCCGCTTCTGCCTACCATCAGGCGGTTGAAGGTGACCGTGATGTGCTGGCCGGCCAGTGTCCACCAGTGGCGTGTCTGCGGACCCTCCTCCTCCAGCACGTGCTGCCCCGCGATCACATGCTGCCTGCAGAGCTGCTGCGCCAAGGACACCTGTGGGCCCAAGGCCCGTGAACCCAGGGCCGGGGCCTCCCCTGTGCCCCTGCCCAGGCAGTGGAGGGGACGGGGCACCCAGGGCAGGTCCCGGCAGGCTCACGTTCATGGTCATGGGGAAGGAGGAGCTGAGGATGGTAGGCACCAGCACGGTGAAGGGGCCCGACGTGCTGAGGAGCTCCCGGCAGCCCTGGCCTGTGTGCAGGGAGGCCGGGTCAGAAGGATGGGTGTGGGGGGCTGGGAAGACCCGTGGCCAGCTGCGCCCCAATGGGGAAGCACAGGGCCTGGGCCTGGGGGAGGAGGGGGCCCTACCCCGCCATGCACCCCCCCCAACCCAGGTTCCCTGCACTGTGGCCACCCCTACCCCGCAGGGGCGTGGGCTGGGCCCAGACAGCGAGCTCACACACCCAGCATGTCCACGGCGACTCTCAGACGCAGGACCATTAGGCCCGCCTGGCTGGACTTCTGCACCTCCTGCAGCAGGTGGCCATAGCAGGCACGCCCATCCCCCACCTCGCCCTCCTTGCACACGCAGCTGGGGGCACAGGGGCAGCATCAGGGCAGGGTCCCGGGCGGGCAGGACTTCCGCCCAACCCTACCCCAGCCTCCCAGCCCCCCTGTGCACACCTCGTCCTCTGGTATGGGGTCACCTGGCAGGTGGCTGAGCGGTCGCAGGAGACAGGGAAGCACCGGGGGACACAGCCGGCGATTAAGGGGCTGATGCTGACTAGACCAGGCTTACAGGAGCAGGTGGCCTGGGCCGCGGGCACAGGAGGAGCAGTCATGTGGTGGGGGCATGGTGCCCTGGGGCCGGCTCCACCCAAACTGCCCTGTGAGAAAGGGCTCCTACCCCCTCCCTACTATACACGTGGGGCTGCCGGGCTCCTCCGAGGGGGTTGGGCTGGAGCTGACGGGGCTCCTACTCACCTTGCCTGGCCCTTGGTACAGGCATGTGGTGGAGTTGCTGGGGCAGCCCCCGTAGTTGGCTGTACATGGGTCTTGGGGCTGACACACTGTGCCGTCACCATGGTATCCCTCTCGGCAGAGACACTGGGCCTGCCCCGAGGGGCTCACCGAGCACTGGGCCATCGGGGCACAGGGCGAGGGTGACCGGCAGGGGTTGAGAGCTGCCAGGGCAGAAAGCACCAGTCCAGGAGAGCTGGACCCCAGGGTCAGTCTCTTGCAGAGTTTCCCCTGCACCCCCTCCCTCGGAGACAACACCCCCTCGCTGGGCATGGCCAGATGCCATGGCCCTGTGAGTTACAAGCACGTGCCCATCCCCACCCCGAGCCTGTCTGTGGGTCCAGAGCCGGGCCCCTGGCTCACCTCGGCACTCCCAGCCATGCTGGGTGTAGCCAGGCAGGCAGCGGCAGGAGGGGGCCGCAGCGGAGCACTCAGAGTTCTGTGGACACTTCAGGGCCTGGCAGATTGGCAGCTCTGAACAGAGAGGAGAGGGCTGGAATGGCCACAGCCCCTGGCTGGGGGGTGGGGGAGCCAGGGGCCAGGCTTCAGCCTATAGGTGTCCTGCCTCAGCTGGGTTGGCTGTGTGACTTTGTGCAGGGCTCTGCCCTCTCTGGGCCTGGCTCAGGTGGTGCAAGTCCTCCCCCTCCTTAGAAAGACCTGTGGCTCTCGGCAGGGGGTTTCGCTGGAGCCACATGCCCCTCCTTCTCCCCCCCTGTCCCCAGGCTGCATCACGGCTGTGGCCAGCTAGGCCCCGAGTGGGCATGCTCACTCACCCTGGTCACAGCGGGGCCCCGTGAACCCAGCAAAGCACGTGCAGCTGCCGTCCCCGCGTGGGCCGCGGCTGCACACTCCATGGACACAGCTGCACACTGGGGGACACGGGGACTTGGCGTCAGGGACACCCGGGATGTGGGTCTGGGGGAGCTCGGGGTGCACGGTTCCCCTGGGGCAGGTGGGGGTGCCCTTCCTGGGGAAGAGAACCGCAGTGCCAAGGCTGGGCGGGTGGCGAGGCCGGGCGAGCCCCTGGAGGAGGGGGGCCGGTTTGAGGGTGCACAGGGGCGTCCAAGGGGCAGGTGGGGTGAGCACAGGGCCCCCAGGTGGACCTGCCACCTGACCGCAGCCCTCACCAGACTGGCAGTCCGGCCCAAACCGGTTGGGGTCTCGGCACTCCTGGCAGGCTGAGCCGCTGAAGTTTTCCTGGGGGGGGGGGGCACTGAGTCAGCGAGGCCCCACCCCGCCCCCTTCCCTTCCCTCCGCCCCGCCCGGCCCTCCCCCGTCCTTACCTGGCACACGCAGGTGCCGTTCCTGTCCAGGCCGTCCAGGCAGGTCCCCTGCCCGCTGCACGGGGTCTCAGCGCCCCCAGGACACTCTGTGGACTCCACACACTCAGCCCTGCCCCCCCCGCCCCCGGGATCCCCCAGACGCGCTCCCCAGAGTGGGCTTCGTGCATTCTCTCGCCCGCTCGGGAGGCGGGGCCGGGGCTGCGGGCACCCTCCGCTGCGCTGTGCCACCACCTCGTCCCGCCCCGCTGGGTCGTAGCACCCTGCACCCCCCAGAGGTAGCGCTCCAAAGCCCCGCCCCTCGCCGCGGCCCCGCCCCTACCGTAGCACTGCGACCCCCAGTAGCCGGCGCAGCAGGCCTTGTGCACCACCTCCTTCCAGCACTCCTGTCTGCAGCCGCTCAAGGACAGCGTGGACTCCCCCAGCTTCACCTCATAGCTGCGCGGGGGCTGAGAGTGAGCACCCGTCGGGCCTCGGCGCCCCACCCCTCCTCCCTGCGTCTGGCAGATAACCAACCTCCAAACACTCAAGGCCATTGAGTGGAGGCCCATTCCGAGGGACCCCTTAGGACAGGGCAGAGCAGCCCCGGGGGTTCCCGCACTAACTCCCCTTTCTCCTGCTGAGCGGGGGGTGGGGGTGGGGGTAGGGGCTTCAAACTGCTGACCTTCCAGTTAGGCCACCAGGACCCACGAGGCCACCGGGGCCTTAGAGGCTCAGTCACCCCCACCCTGCCCTCTGCCTCCACCCGCCTCCTCCCTCCTTCCCACTGCAGGGCTCCAGGTGGGGCCACCCCTCGCCCCGGGGGGCTGGGGTCCGCACCGACAGTCTCGTGATATCTGCTGCGGGAACTCCGGGGCCCAGCCCGAGGGGCACATCCGCCGCTTCACGGCGGCGCAGTGGGTGCAGGGCGTGTGGCTGTAAAACTTCGTCTTGGTATCGCAGCGCTTGGAGCGCACCTGGATGGAGCGGGGCGGGCAGAGCCTGAGCCCACCAGGGCCGGTGACGTCTGCAGACCCCTTGTTCCTCTGCCCACCCAGCACACGCAGGCCCGATTCCCCCACCTGACTCCAGGGGCTGGCTCGCTACCCTCACACACGCCAGGACCCTGGGGCTGGGTGATGCCCACAGCCCAAGGAATCAATGGGCCTAGTGGGATGGAGGGCAGGGGTGCTAGGCGGCTTCCTGGGGGAGGGGACACTTGCGTGGAGCCTGACGGAGCCAGGGAGCGCTACAGCCAAGACGGTGGCTGGAAGTGGAAAGGAGCATCTGACCTTGTGAGGAGAGGCCAGAGGGCCCAGCAGCCGGCAGCAGGTCCAGGCCGGGGCAAGTCAGAGCTGGGGCAGCTTGGGGCTCAATGTGGGTTCTATGTGGCCCCTGCCCGCTTGCCGCAAAATAACCTGGGGGGGGGCAGCAATCGAGGTGGCTCAGGTGAGGCGTTGGGGTGGTCTGGGCAGAGGCTTGGGCAGTGAGCATTAGGTGAGGTTGGGTTGGGGGAGGCACCAACCTCTGGGGTATCCCGTGGGCACTGATGGGGCAGGTGAGGAGGTCGGGCCTGCCACCTGACATGGGCCTATGGTGTCGTCCACGGGTGGTGCAGGGTGGGGCCGGAGGGGAGGCAGTGGCTAGGGGGTGGGGGGAGCCTGGGCCTGGGGCCCCGCCAAGGGCAGCTGCTAAGATGTTCTCTCAAAAACTGCTGAGCACAGTGTGGCCCCAAAGCAGAGAGCGCTCACACCAGCTCTTCTTAGAAGAACCCACAGATGTCCGGTTGCTGGACATGGGGAAAAGGAGAAACAGTGTCCAGGCCCCTGCTGCGGGCTGGCCGCTGCCGTGATTGGGACCTTTCCGCTCAGGCCTCTGCGGTCAACAAACAGGGAAGTTGTCCAGAGCGGCTGCACTGCCTCACAGGGGACGGAGGGCTGCGGTCTCCGCCCCCCCCCACCCTTGCCCTGCACCACCGGCCTTGGCCTTGCTGAGCAAGGGAAGACAGGGGGAATTGGGTAACTCAGGCAGGGTCAGCCGGGGCTGAGCCACTGCTGGCTCAGGGCAAAGGCTCAGTGGTCAGCTGGGTCCCCTGGAGGCCATGTGGGCCCTGGGGAGAGCTACAGGTGGGTCCCAGAGAGATGAGGCTCGGGGTGCATGAAGGGCTGTGGGTGGCTAGGGTTCAGGGGATGGCATCCCAGCCTGGACCCGGCTTCCTCCCAGGAAGGCACGTTGGGTGAGCACATGAAATGGTGATGGATAGACCTGCAGGCAGCACCCCGCTGCACCCATCAGCCCAGGCACCTTCCTGAGCTGCCTGAACCCACACCCAGCTGGGTGCAGTGAGCTGGGTCAGGGCCTGGGGGCTGTAGCAGACCTCTTGCTGGAACCTGGGCGGGTGCTGGCCCTGTCTCCCCTGCCATTCTGCGAGTTGTTCTTACCTGTCTGCTTCCCACAGAGACGTTGCTGGGGCCCCCAGCATGACTTAACAAGAAAGGCAGGCACAGACGGACTTGTGCATACCCTTGCTTCCTGGGAAGTCAGACCCCAAGCCTGGCAGTGGAAGAAACTCCCCCCCGCCCAAAGCCAGGCTGGAGGGCTTCCTGGGCTCCCCACACACACCAGGGAAGAGAGAATGGGACCCCCAGCTGCTCCCCCCATCTCCGGTGCAGAAGGGAGGGCCATCTGGACTTGTGTCCAAGCTGCCACTGGTGCAGAATGGGTGCTGCTTGGCAGGCTGCAGAGTGACCCCCTGGGACCCCTCTGCTAGGAAGCCCACCCGACTGCTGGAGCCTGCACACATTCAAGTCCTGCTAGTGCCCCTTTCCTGACTGTGTGGTCTAGGGGCATCCGTTCCCCCAGCCTCAGTTTCCCCATTGCTGGGGCTGCCAGGGAGGAGTGATCATGAGGGTGGGAGAGATGAGGGTAGGCCCCTCACCAGGATGCCCCCCCACCCTGGGCCTCCTCTCTAGGAGCGGGGTGGGAGACACAGGCTGCCCGCAAGTGGACCCCCAGCCAAGGCCCCTCATGGGCCGTCCCCACTGTAAAGACAGTCCTTTGAAATGCGCACATGGGGAAACTGAGGCATGGAGGGGCCTGGAATACTCCCCCAGGGCTTGGCCTAGCACAGCCCCACACTCTGTGTCTTCGGCCCCAGCTCTGCTGGTGCCCTACGCCCCCGCTCTCCCCACACGGAGCCCACACGAGCCCGTGCCTGGGGTGCTGCCGGCAGGGCTCGGGCAGGTCCTCCCCATCCTGGGAGTCACATGGCCCCTCCAAGGACTGTGTGCAGAAGCTCTGAAGGACAGTGTCCACCCAACCCCACCCAGGAGCCTGGGTGGAAGGAGGAAGACCGGAGAGGGGGCACACCGGGTCCCTGTCACTGTCTCTCCTACAGCAGCCTGCCCGGGCAGCACCAGCATGGTTGGAGCGGACACAGGCTATTTGTGTGGCCAGCCTCCACCCTCCCCTGGGCTGGGCATGCTCGCCAGGCTGGGAAGGTCTGTGGACAGAGCCCAGCTATGTCCGGTGCCACGTTTGACCCGTGAGCCCTGACTGCTCTTAGCCAGCCTCGGGGGCACTGTCAGGCCCACTGCCTCAGGTGCACATGCCCCAGCAGGCCACCCATGTGGACGGGACATCATCACATCTCTGGTCCCCAGGTGAGGCCTGCACTCGGGCCTGGGCCTCAGTCTGGGTACGGCGGGCAGAGAGGGCTTTGGTTCTGAATCCTCCACCCTCAGGCTGGGGAGCCCTGGCACAGGTGGCATGCCCCACAACGAGCTGGTGGGGAGTTAGGGGACACAGGCTGCCAGTCATCGCCTACCCAACAGACCTGCTCTGAGGGCACAACCGGTGCTGGCTGGCCACCTGTGTGTCCCCCACCAACCTGCACCCCATTCGGCTGTCGTCCCTGGCTAGCAGGAGGTGGACACCGTGCCCTCCGGCCATTCACTCACCTTCTGGCCCCTGACGCAGCTGGAGCCTGCCACACAGGCGGCCAGGAGGCAGAGCAGCAGGCGGCCCCGGGGCCCGGCCATGGCCGAGGCGGTTTGTGGGCACACTGTGGGGCAGTCCGGCGGCTGGAGGGGGAATGGGCTCTAGGAGCAGGCATGGGGCGGGCCGTCTCCTTAAAAGCATCCCGGAAGCCCCGCCAGCTCCCCCGACAGGATTTCCTCCTGCCTATCAGCAGCCTCCAGGCGGAAGGGAAGGCGCTATCCCTGCCCCCAGCATGGACGGCCTGGACCCTCCTCCCGGCTGCGGTCGGGGGTGGGGGGCGGGGAGTGGGCGGCGAGGGGTCACCTGCTGTAAACAAATGCACAGGCAAATGCTGCCCGTCCCCACTCAGCCCTGCCTGTCCCACTCTGAGGCCCTGAGGGGGTCTGCCAGAGGTCTGGGAGGGAGGGCCCACTGCTAACTGCGGACACGCTGGGATTCTGCCAGGTGCCTTGGTGAGCCCTCTCACCTGCCCCGTGCATTGCACAGTTGTTCCTGCCCATTGGGCCCCTGGATGTGCCTCCTCTGGGGACCCATGGCCTGCCCTCTCCCTCTGCCACTGTCCACCCTGACAGTGAGTGTGTGGGCGGCCACACGGCCAATCCTCCTCAGGGTCATCCCAGGCCCTGCAGACTTGGGGGCTCCGTGTCAGGCCGGCTAGCTCACCCTCAGCTTGTTCTCCCGTTGCCAGGGGGATGGGCAGTCTGAGGCCATGGCGTTGACCAGTGCTGGTCTGCGCGTCCCTCGGCCACACAGGCACCTGGGGTCACCGTCCCTTACAGCGAGTCCTTCCTTCACCAGGTTCCCTGGGGTGCCCGTGTCTCTGCACCAGACAGACATGAGCCCCGCGTCCTCCCTCGGCTGCACTTTACAGGGGCCACTGCCTTGGTGCCAGTGGTCCCTATATACTTAAGTCCCGGGGAGCCCAGACTCCATCACGGGCAGCAGGTAAGGCTCCCGGCCTGTGGGCTCAACCCAGGACTGCGGTCGGTCGGAGTGCCCCGAGGATTTCCACGGCTCTTTGGCCCCAGTTGGTGGCTTAGGTGCAGCTGGCATGGCCTCCACTGTCACCCAACACCTCCCTGAGCAGGGGAGGCCTCTTCCTTTGTCTTCTGCCCCACCCCCCCACCGCCTTACCCCCCTGTGAGTCCAGGGCCCCCACTTCCATGCCACCGGGAATCAGAGACGGAGGCTGAGTGAGACGCTTTATTGGAATAAAGACAAGGGCACAGACTGGCAGCCCCAGGGCCCTTACCCTGGGGACAGAAGCCACGCTGGGCAAGGGCTTGGGCCGGAGCTTTCCAGGGGCCTTTTGCTACCAGCGCATGATGGGCGGCCAATGGCCACCGCCGCCGCCAACAACAACAAAGGACTGGACTTGACATTCGGAACAGATGCACGCGCACCACAGGCCACAGCGCCACGTTAGCACAGTCCCACGACAGACAGGCACAGACAACACTGCCGCCGCCACCAGCCGGCCAGGCCACCCCTCGGCCGGCCGCAGGCCCTGGACGGGGGAACGGCCAGCCCTCGGGCCGGCGTCTGGCTCTAGGGCGGCTGCGTCAATAGCATAAGGTGCCCAGCTCTGCACCGACAGTCCAAGGAAGGGGCCCACAGGGAGGGGAGCACAGGGCAGAGGAGGCCGGCATCCCCGGGGGCCAGGGCCGGCTACCCGGTGAGCTCCACAGGCAGCTCCCGGCCACACAGGGCCTCCCACTGGTGGGCCAGCAGAGAAATGAGTTTCTCTCGGCTCTCTGCGCTGGGGACAAACACCTGCCACTGGACCTCACGGCCCTGTCCAGCCCTACCCGGGCCCCCGGGCCCCTCTTCCCCAAAGTGGTCTGCGGTGGCACTGCCCATGAGGCCGTGGCCCTGCACGTCGTCAAAGACCAGGGTGAGGGCCTGCAGGTGGGGCTGGTAGCCCATGAGCACGCGGTCCAGGTCTCGCACCCGGCGGCTGTCGGCCAGCCGGTAGCGGTCCCTCTGCGGGGGCTCTTTGGCAAACTCGGGCAGCGGGTAGTGCACGCAGTCCTCTTCCAGCAGGAAGAGCTCAGCGCTGGTCAGCAGCAGCGTCTTGGGTCGCAGCACGGCCCTGCAGTGCCCGGGCGGGGGTGGGCCCACCTGGAAGGCCTGCACGCAGAGCAGGAGGCTGAGGGCCGGGGCCTGCTGCTCCTCAGCGGTCCCCTTCTGGGCCACGATGAATGCCAGGTCCCCGAGCTCCTCCTCGCTGGGGTAGGTGAACCTGACGCGGCTGGAGTGGATCAGCTCGTAGTTCTCCACCTTGCCTGCGGAGGGAGCCACTGGCTGAGGCCCGCGCGGGGTGGGGGTGGGAGGGTTCCCCAGGGATGGAGTGCAGAGGAGGCCTGGGACTGGGTACCTGTACTCTTGTTCCCAAACTCGGAGTAGAAGTCCCTGTCGGCGGGCTCCGGCGAGGGCGTGCGTGCCAGCGAGGCGAGCACGGCCATGAGGTGCTGCAGGAAGCAGTGCGTCACGTAGCTGTCCCGCGTCAAGCACGTAACCACCTGAGCCGGCGAGGAGCCTGGGGGCGGGGGCGGGGTGGGGTGCAGGGAGGGACAAGAGTGGGGAGAGGCTGGTCACTGTCACAGTCCACCACTCCTCCAGCCCCTCCCTGACCCCGAGCCAATTCCAGTGTCCAGCGAGGCTCAGCACAGGGGCTGAGAGGCCATTTCTTGGGCCGGAAGGGCCGTGATGTGTCCCTGGAAGGGGATATGGCATTAGGGAAAGAGCTGAGCTTTCTCTCTTCAGGAAGTGAGTCAGAAACATCCTGCCTGTCCGGGGCCAGGCCCCCCTGCCTGTCTGCACGCCCCGCATTCTCAGCAGTTCTCTGCTGCCTGGCCACCGGCCTGCGGGCTGGCAAGCAAAGATAACTCAGCTCCCACAGCGTGCTCCCTCCCATGTGGAGAGGGCGCCCAGCCGACGTGGCCTTCAACCCAACCAGGCCCGCACTGGAGGGTCACTCACCCGTCAGCCGGAAGTACTGGTCAAAAAGCCCCACGTTAACTGACTGCAGGTCACTGAGCTGTAAGACGAAGCACTGGGAGACGTGGAAGGGGCTGTTCTCATAGTCAGGGTTCTTCTGGTGCCAGAAGTCTGGGATGGGCAGAAGGGGACCAGGGTGGCAGGTGGGCAACGTGTCACCAGGAGCACTGGGAGAGGCCGCCGAGCAGGGCTACCCAGTCCCCTCCTGCCAGCCAGTCCCCAGCATTCACTGGGACCCAGGCTACCCCCGTCCCCGCCCTGCCCCCTTGCGCACCCTGCAGCGGCTCTGAGTGGTGGGGGTGCAGGTCCCCCACCCCCACCCCCACCTGTCCCCGCCCCTGTGCACACCCTGCAGCGGCTCCGAGTGGTGGTGGCGCAGGCTGTCATGCAGCACCAGGTACACAGCCCGAGTGGACAGCAGCAGGCAGGCGGTGACCTCCAGAGCCGGCGTCTGGTAGAAGGCCACGGATGACCAGGCGAGATGCCGCAGCTCCTCGTTGTCCACCTGCAGGGTGGAAAGCACCCTTTACTTGCCCGCGCCCC